CTGTTATGTCGCTCAAAACGCATAGCAATGAGTTAAAACGCATTTTTACCAAGGTATTTAGGAATTATTACCCCCTTTAAGGCCAAAAAATGTTTACTTTCAAACAACCATTTTAAACAAAACGTTCTTTCTCGCGTAAGAATCGTGAGCGTACAAATACCACTTTTTTTTCCGGTTGAGATGGATAAATAAATACCTGAAAATATTTGGCCGAAGACAAACGTGATAGATCAATTAACTTGAGAGTATGCTGTCTATGATCTTAATTTTTGTTTCTTGAAAGGAAATTTTTTGCCAATGTTTTTGTAGTGTAATACTGGTTTACGGACTGACATCTAAAGTTTCATCATGTAGCATCCGCAAACGCCTAGATGTCTCGAACAGTAAGAAGAATGCTCACCAGTGTGGTCTGCATGTTATTAAGCATTTGTGGAAACTTCATTATGGTCTAATACTGGGTCCGAGAATCCTGAAAACTTGAAGGGCTCTTAGCGGGGTACTTTGTTACCGTTATATCCTTTTTGTTTCTTTTACAACGAACATTTAAATATAAAGGTTCAGTCCGCTTGTTACTGAATGTACATTCACTTAATACGCTGTCACCGTCACTTTTTTCCTACTTAGGCCGAACAGTCTGCTGCCTGTGAACCATCTTACGCCAACGATAATTTCAGGAGTCCGTTTATACGCCAATTTATTAATGTTTACGAGGAGGAGTCAGCGGCGCAGGAGGAAATAGATGTTGGCTATAGTTTCGAAGAATGGATTCTCAACTATCAGGCCGAAAACGAATTCATTGAAGAGGATGACAATGCGATCAGTGATGGTGATAGGCTGTCTACTGCCTTCGAGATCCATCTTGCTACCCGCGGTGACTACGGCTGCGAAGCTGTCCGTTACTCTTGGTGTGGGCAGCCAGTCTTTGCAAGATCCCCCAGGCCGGACTGGAAGCCCTTCTTTACCTGCCCTCACTGCCTCGGCGAACGCGTTTTTGAGGTCCAAATATTCTCCACCCTAAACAGTTATCTTTTAACCCGAATGGACCTGAAAGCTCCACCAAAATGCGAGTGGCCGCTAGATATGTTGTCCGTCCTTGTGTTTACCTGTAAATCCGCCTGTTGGCGTGATTCTGATGACTTCAGTCCTTTGATTGAAGAAGCGGTGTTGACGCAGACAGAAGATGGAAAAAGTGTTTTTCACGATCCAAATAAAAGCTCCTTCTAAGCATTGATCTTCTAAAACCCATTCTTCAAAATGTAGGAGCATTTATGGAAACTAGTACGTTATTGTTATGTAAATAGGCTGCCTTCACCGGAAAGCATTCGTTTTACGAATGAAATAGGCATGACGGTAAGTTTAGGTAGAGTAGCGCAGGAATTTACCTAGTAGATTCAAATCTGGAATGGAGCTAATTAAGTCCACATCAAAGCTGTGCCATAAAAATTGCCGTCACAAGGAACGGTTACACCCACACCTCCCCCTGCCACGTTTTAAGCACCAAAGCTGTGCTTGTTTTTTCGAGTCCAGGGAGAAATCCATTAGAGTAGGTATCTTTGATAGTGCCATGTTCATGCCAACAATGCACGGAGCGGCGAACTCGTTACGCTGACCTAGAATATACTCGTGGAACCTTAGAAACGGATTCTACGCTTGCGATTTGTACCGGACAAGTCCTATCAGTGCTTGCCATTCGGGACACGAACCGCAGTTAAATTCTAATTGCAGCCATTGTAAGCTAATAAGAACAGAGCGAACAGGGGCATACTCAATGATAAGGTACTTGCGATCTCTTTCGCGGATGGTATCTCTGAATTTACGTTATTTGTAAACCCTTGAGTCTACCGGCCTGCACAGCAATTGTCATGACAATTTACCCTAACTTGCAAAAGGCTTTAGAAAAAAAGGAAAATATTTTTCAAGCTTCTTAAGGAAAAGAAGTTAAGTAGATCACGCAAATAAAGGCCACGCAAAGGGTGGCATAAGGTCTGTTTCGTTCCATAAGTATAGCAAGAACAACAACTAGGGCCGAAGGTCCGTGTGTACGAGGGGCTGAGCGTCCCAGAAGCTCTCGAGACGTTGTCAGTCCTCCGTAGGGTCGCAATATAATGTCCAAAAGAGAATAGTCACGGACAAAACGGGGAGGCCACACACAAAATCCGATGAGCTATGACACAAGACATGCGAAAGAAAGCGAAAAATAAACACCACGGACGGCTCTTGACCGCGGTGGTTGGTAACAAATCAGAAATTAGACTTATTATCGCAGCGGGTGGGAGTAGAGGGATGCGTGTGCAAAGTAGGGCGAGAAGAGAGGTTGCAGGAACTCTCAAAGGGCAGTAAGCCGGAAAAATCCGGTGAGAGCTAGCCTGCGGTTCTAGATAATGCGTGTCCCATCGTCAGGCACACAAACATGTCTACTTGTTAGAGGGAAGGCAAAGAGAAGCAGCAATTACACGGGGCAGATGGGAGAAATATCCGAAAAAAGTAATCAGGACGGGTGCTGTCTTGAAGGGGAGGGCAGTAACAATAGCAGAGTGCGTTCTCAGTGTCATTTGTGGTGCAGGCGGCAGTGGTGTGATGCATATTTGCATAAACAGCAGTTTTTGTTTGTTTAGGGGAGAGCGACAATAACCTCCACGTAGTTCACCGGGAAAAAGCCTTCTCTGCCGTTCAACCGTCCTTCATACCAGTTTTCGTCTACCTGCCTGATCAATTGAATAATGTCGCCTTCCGCGAAGGCCAGCTCGGTGTCGTTCTCAGCGTCAAACTGGTAGAGAGCTCTGCAGCAGGGTCCGCCCTCTGCGAGAAATGAAAAAAAGGGGTAAACGTGGCCGAATTGATTTTAGTACCTCAGCTTAAAAAACAACATGAGCAGAAAGGTTGTGGTGGCAAGCAATTTATGTGTCCACTACTCTAAGATGCCTTGGACACAATGACAGATGATGCTCTGTCGTACAAACCTGCAGGACTTTTGCAAGAAAACGATCAGTTACATAAGCTAGGCACTTGGGAAACGTTACACTACGTACACGCAGCATCCTTCCGTAGACAGCTGGGCATTTAAAAAAATCAACTGACCAAGCCTGCCCCAGTAACTTTCCTTGGACTGCGCGGCTGTCGCGCTAGACCGCATAGGGAAACCGTTGGCTTAAGGAATGTTTCATCGATTTGTGCGTGTGTGGGCCGCTGCATATTGCCGTATACGCGTGGGACTCACAAGGCGTAGGCTATATTACATCAGCCTCTGCCGCAAATTTGGCTGACAGGCTAAGATA